AGGTTGGCCGGGGACGCCGACAAGGCCATAGGAGACAGACTCCAGTTTCCACGAATACGTCGAAGCGTCTTGCATCTAATATCTTAGAAAAGTTTCGAGCTGCTCGTTCCTTAAAGAAGAGGAAGAGGGAGCACCGGGACGGGGAGGAAGGGATCAGAAAGAGAAACGTTCGGGTGCATGCACACGCGCACACCGGTCGCGGCCAGACACCGAGAAAACGAGGCGGAATGGAGCATAGGGTACGCCGAAGGGCGGTTTCGCGGTAGGTAGAGGGAAAACGGAGGAAAGAGGTGAGTCGACCTGGATGAGCCGTATCTTGGGGGATAAGTATCGAACCTGAAAATCGCGACCAAAAACCCGACTGGCGCAGCAACGTCATGCGGAAAACGACGAACTGGGTCGATGTCGAAGAGTTTCGCTGCAGTCGGGTGGTCCAATCGAGTATCCATCCTCTCTTCCTTCCCGTCGTGCCCTTTCTTCCTTCGACGGGCCAAACCGTGGCACTCCGTCCTCGTTCATCTCGTATGCGAAAAGAGAGCAGCAAGGCGGTGAGGAGGAGGAGGAGGAGGAGGAGGAGGAGGGGAGAAGGGGATTTGAAACTCCGGGAGCGACTGTTTTCCTCATCGTCGACGAAAACATGCTGCCCTTGTACTGTCGTCGAGACAAATACCGAGTGCACGGCCCGCTCGGAGCCAGATAGAAAGACGCGGTCTGGGGTCACGGGATCCGGGAAGGGTGAGGAGATGCAGAAAGTTTTTCACTGTTCTTTTCGTTTATAATTTATGTTTCCCCGAGCATGGCTGAGACATTGTTATCGATTCCGTTATGTAACGGGCCAGCGTCGGTTTCCCGCGACGCTCTGGAACGCACTTGGCTATTTAAACGCCGGCTTTTGTTCGATCCGCGGAGTCGCGGCTCAAAGAGAGCAGCTCGATCAAAGGAATCCCGGAAATACTATTCGCTCGCTATTGACCCAACTCGCCCGTGGAATTAGTAATTTATCGCGAACGGGATAAGTTCTCGTCGTACACGTGAACTGTGTCTGCTCGAACGAAGATCCTGCGCTGGAATAGTTTTAAAAATGAAAAATTGATTGGTATGACTGTTCGCTGTGTAATCCTCTAGAGTACTCCATATAATTCTATACAAACGATCTTGTTACCAATCAGGCCTGCAATTTACAAACGTCACGAACACAGTCTATTTACACCATACACACCTGACACGACGTTCAAATATTCTACACACAACACAGCGTACCGATAGAAACGAAAACGTGTTAGCTGCTCGCGCGGTAAACCGCTGGTTCGTCGTTACTCATTTGTCGTAATGGAGAGTCCCCAATTAGGGTTGCGCAGTTTAGCTTATCATTTTACGCTGTCCGATACAATTCCAGCAGGGCGAATCTCGCGTTGCCGTCGTATGAACCGTGTGTTGACGTGTCTGCGATGCTTCCGTGGCTCGTGTCGTCCGATTGAGACCCTGGAGGAAAGGGCGGGACCCCCTACCACCCTCCCTACTCCGTGATAACTGAGTTACGTTCCAATATCATGATTACACGTCATACTTGGCAGTTGACGCTCCCCAGAGTAATGATCATTGTGAAACGGTTGAGGCGGTCACGGGATCACGTCGAGCCGTTTAAATTCTTGGCCGGAGAGGGAATATACCCTGACGGTTCTGTTCGCTAATCTTCACGGTCGTTGGAAACATATTGCCCCACGTTCCTGCTTTAATCTTGTGACGTAAAACGGTTCGTGAAAGAATTCCGTGTTTTTAGTTGCCCGCTCCCGCTCACCGGGAACTTTACTCGTTCCCTGCACTTGGGACTGCAATAATTTAAAAAACACTTACGTGGAGTTTCATCATCATTCTTGGTTATTACGCACCGGACCGTTTCCCTGCCCCTCGGCGAAATACTTCCCAGGGAAGGAACGCTCGGCGTGCTCTCGGCACTAAATACGTTATTTAGACGTGTCGTTAGTACGCGAAGCGACTCTTCGTTAATATATTTCAGTTCTCTTCAATTAAACCGAGGTAACAGTTCGAAATTAATAAACTGTAGATTCGCTAGAAAATAATTCGATGAGGTATTGTACATTGTTCTTCGAAATTCCCTTTATAATATAAATTCAAATAAATATCGTTAATGCGACTGGTGGAGTTAAACGCTTTGAGCAGCGAACGGTTCAAATATCTAAGAAATCCAGTAATTAACTTTGTTTGAAGAAAAATCCCCCTTCCAAAAATATTTTCGATTCACCGAACAAATTGCAAGGTAGCGAAACGTGGAAACTAGTTCAGCTTACGCAACCGTGGCCTATAAATCGTGACACCGTGTATAGTACAGAGCTTCGAGATAATTATTACAGCCGGTGACAGTTGTTGAAGCCTGAGATCGCGCAATTACAAGGTCTCGGGGTTCTCCAATTGCTTTTCACTCCGTGAAAGACTCAACGTTGCTTCCTACAGTTCGTGGATGCGCCTTTCGCGCGACAGAAGGAACCACGCGCTGGTGCGGCTTTCCCGCCAAGTTCATTCAGCGTCTTGCGTTGGATGTAAGCCAAATGCTGAATACACCAGCACCTTCTGCACCCCTTCCCTCCACCCTCGCCGCCACCCACTTTCCCGTCCGTAACCGTTATCCCGGAACGGCAAGTTGATGTTGCTGTTGTTGCTAACACCGCCCCGCGTCGCTTCGTTATAGAACAAGCAACACGGGGCGGCTAATAAGGTCGGGTCACGACCCTATTCCGCAATATTTCGCGACCAATTGCGCGCGACGTTGCTGGGAATAAGTGTGACAGCCAAATCCTGCCGGAGTTATTGGTCGCATTATTCCCTCTGAATTTCTCCATCGCGAACGCCCCGACTACTGGACAAAGACGACACACCGACCATTTGGGAAAAAATTCTGCCGTTGGGCGATGATACGATACGAAAAGCGAGTCTCGCGGGTTGAAACTCAGCCCTGCAACAAGTTATCAGTTACTCGCGAATCGTCTGAAAAAGAATTTCACCGTTTTACGAATAAATTCGCATTTATATGGCATGCACAAGAAGAAATAATATAATAACGTGAAAAGATGTATGATACTAGATATGTCGAGATACGTGGAGATACTGGAATGTTAAGCAATTTAGACTTTAATAATAAAACATAAGCTAAGTAATAAGGCAAACAGTGTAGAGTACTCGCAAGTGGGTCAATTTAAACACGCCTAGCCACTTTATCCTGAAATTTGTTTATTCTTATTAGAATTTTCCATTGATTTCAAAGACACTTCGCAAACGGGTGTTGCTTATTTCAATTAAACATGTGCTCAAGAGACTCCATGAAAACAAACTATCGACTCTCAATTCGACGAATATTCCACGAGTAACCGTCTATTTAAGTCTAGGAACTGAGTAAAGCGAAAAGCAACATGAAATTGCGCTATTCCGATTTCCTCGAAGGTTGTTTTCCCAAATCTTCGCCGCGTGCCGCGGGAACGAAGCCGGGAGCGGGCGTGCGGGTGTGCGTAGCGTTCATAGTATTGGCAGCGGGCCAAGTCACGTTGCGGCTCAATGAAATCTTTCTAGGTTAGGTTAGCCCCTTCCTTCCGCGTTAAGCGTAGGATACGTTTACACCGACTTACTGGACGCGCAGACAAGAAAGAGAGAGAGAGAGAGGAAGCTGGCCCCTGGCCAGGGAGGGAGCTCGCCGAAGTGGCTGGCTTTAGGATCCGACGGAAGTAGTAGTGGCCAATATTGGTCAGACCGGAGGCTTCTTAAGCGCGAACTCGCGCTACTCCGGGTCGGTGCTCAGACTCTACTCCTCGCTGGCAGCTGTCAATACGATATCAAATCAAGAAAAAGGTCCCATATCCGTCTCGTCTAGATGTCCCGAGATTCACGACGAGCCGTGATAAACAGCATGCATCCCGTACATAGGGAACGAATGGGGCGATTTCTCTCCAAGTTTCTGAAAATTGGATTTTTCAAGATCTCATCACATTGAAAATGAAAAACTAACCAAATTCACTTTATTTAAACGCAGGCACAAGGAGCTTGACACTATAGACGAGTAAAATCAACATTATCAGCATTTATAAATTTCGGTGCAAAATGAGGTACTTGTTACTTTGAAAAACGAAACCACGAAATTCCATTGAGATTGCCAGATGCTCGTATTAAAAAGAAAAATAGAATGCTCAGAACTGAAATGGTTGAACCATCCTTTTGTATGCTACAATCACTCGTATCGTTCGTTCCGTACAAATCACCACACGTCGACGTGCCATCGTACGGCTCGCCCCGACGACGCCTCCAGGATCCGGTGCGAAGAAACACTTCATTCAATATCGCGTCGTGCCAGGAATTTAGCTCGCGGACGCGTAACAAGTAGTCATGCACCGTTTCGGGCATCGGTACAGCGCGACTCGCGAGCACAATCCGTCGCCCCTGGCTCCCCTCGGCCGTTTCTTCCCTCCCGCGTCGCGCGTTACCATCCCGCCGTCAAGCGAGCGTGGCGTGGCGAGGAGGAGCAGTCAGGCAGTCAGGCTCTCCGCTGGCATTAAGTATTCCCGTTGGGTCGGCGTGGCGAGGAGGAGCACGGAGTGGCGTGGCGTGCGTCGCGTCGGTCGATGCTGGGGTGCCTACGCGAGGGATGGAAGCAAAACGAGCGAGGGGAGGGTTTCCCCCCTCTCCCGGCGGTTCGTCGCTTCGTCTCGCTCGGTTGGCGCGTCCATCTTTGTCGAGCTTGCGAGCTTTTTCCTAGAAATGCTAGAGATTCGAGAGGCGCTATCCCCCTCGAGCGACGCCAGCGCCCCGGGGGCGCCTGCGCGTCACGGAGGGGTAGCGAATTTCCCGATAGTGGCAAAACGATGGACGAGGGGAAAGGGGCCCCTCTCTCGCCCCTTCCCCCGTGCCAACCCCCACCCCACTATCGCGAGCCGCGCGGCTCCACTGCCCGGGCCTCCACGGTCGCCCCATTCCGTTCTCGGCATCACAGCGTACAGCATTGAACTCGACGCACCACGACAAGGAGCGCGACAGCGACCACCTGCCTCTACTGTGCTTCTACGGATTACCCGTCTGTCTCTCTCCCTCCCGTCTCGCACGACCATTCGATCGCCGCGCGCTCCCGCGAGAAGAGGACAGAACGAAGACAGTACCAGGATAGTACCCGTCACCAGCGGCTTGTCAGACACGTTCCTCTCCGTCGAGACATACACGGCAGAGCAACCGGGGATCACGCGCGGCCCACGTCTCGAGTAAATCACGGAAACGGTTCATCGCGGTGTGTCACATTCGTTTCTCGCGTGTTACGCTCCAGAGATCGCTCCAGTTTCAGTGCTACCGCGGTCCGGTGACCACGATTACGCGACCAGTGTGTACCGCGCGCGAATGCAAGCCGTTTCGTCGACACGGGTCATCAGGATCACGGTCTAGCGGACCGACTAAGTGCATACAACGGTGACATCGTTCGTCGTTGTTGACATCGATAGTTGGTGATCGACGAAACGTCCACAGCCGTCGTGAAGCTATTCGCGACGTCCAACGTCCCTTGGGGGTTGCCGCCGAGTGGTTAAGGGAGGATATACGCGCGTGTGACACCGTTGAACGTTGTCTCTTGCGCGACAAGAGGCACCGTCGGTCTCACCTCCGATCGTCGACTTCTCCGCTGACGGAGAAAAGCCATAGCACGGCACTCGGTACTCGCGGCAGTACTGAGTGACCTGCAGCACCCAGCAGTCATCGAAAAGTGTACACGACGGCGGTCACCACGTACATCACGCCGTTCATCACCTCTGAGAAGGTACAGTGGTCCATTCTCAGATCTTTGCTAAGTAATCGCATCCCCACAGGATCCTGGCCATCCTCGGATGAAATTGTGCGTCTTGGTGAACGTGTGGGTGTATCGACGTTCGTACGATTGCAATTTCTCGTGTGGGTGAAGCATGTGTGTGGGTGGAGCTCCATCCTGGACGTCATCCGTCGGACGGAGACCGACTAACCCCGGTTCGCTGGATCGTTCGTCTCTGTTTCCCCTGCGTTCTCTATCTCTTTCTTTCTTCATCCCCTTTCCCTTATCTTTCGCGTCGTTTATTTTCACGGACAATGTGCAGTGAGCGAAAAGTTTCGCGCAGATGACGTTCGGACGAAGCTTCAGCTCCCCCAAGTTTCTGTCGGAAGTTCCGAAATCTTTCTTCTCTGACGGGACGAACCTCTCGGTGGTCTGTCATCGTCGTTCGATTCCTACGGCACCTCGTTGCGCGACGTCGATTCCTTTCACGCTAGTTTTCTGACCAAGTTTCCTCGCTGACGTAAGAGCAAACAGTGAACGCGGATCGACGCCTCGCGGGCGGGACGGACTTCCGTTCTCCCGTACCCTCGCGTTGAAACGCGGGACAAAACCTCCGTCGGTGCTCCTTTCATAGGATTTCCGAGGTCTCGGAGAGTCGCAGCCGGCGTTGGTACGTCAAATCGGATGAAGGAATTATTAATGAAATTAATAAGTTGAGTGGTCCAGCGGACGATGGAGGGTGGAGTACTATTTCCTTTTCAACGGGACGAGCGCACTCTAGTTCCTTATTACGTTCCCCGCCCCAGCCAAGCAAACTTATTATCTTAAGTCCTTCGGCTCTCCGAGCGAAACGATAACGAGATCGTTACTTTCGAAGTTCCCGCCGCCGCTCGATAATTATTATTTTCCCCTTTCATCGGGTCAGTCGAGCGGATCCGAGTGTAGTTTTAAGACTTCTTCCAGGCAAGTTGCTCCAAACGATCTCTCGCGCGAATCCTTCGCGGCGCTTTATTTTTCCAGATGAAGGGGGCGTCTATTCACTTTGTATCGCGATTTTAAATACGTTAACCTAGTTCCTTTGTCGCTCGTTTCTTCGTTTCATCCGATCTCGAACGGACAGGTCTTCATCCCTCTGTCGGGCGAGCCCGAGAACTCATTCCTCGAGTCGATTCCAATTTATTTTCCCGGCGAAGATCGCTCCTCGCTCGTGGCACGCAATCCCGTTGACGAGATTTTTAAATAATCCCTCTGACGGTGGATCCACCGACGGAGAATGCGACGGCTCGTACCGGAGAATACATTAACTCTTTACGGACGATGACTGGATACACCGGACAACATACTTTCGCAATCTTGAACGAGTATTGGGAAATTCTCGGCGAGAAGCTGTCACCGCGAATCGATGAATTGATTTCGTTGATCGTGTATATGAACGAAGAGAAAATTAAGTGGACGGGTGATAGGAATGTTCATTATCTGAATTGAATCGTTTTTTATGTGGACTGAAATTGTATTTATTATAATCGATTAATGGACAATTTGCTCGAATTCGTTTAGCAGTGATGACAGGATCCTCTCGACTGAAGCTGATTGATGTCGAAGCAGAAAGGAAGAGATACTACGTGGGTGGTGTGGACTTTTTGTTTACTGAATATAAAAAGTGCAGATTGTTTGCGTTCTAAATACAAATTTTTTCCACCTCTGCAGCTCCAGTACCATTTGAGATTCCTAAGAAAATATTGATTTCGATTTCACCTACCGATAAACCACCATGAGTTCGTGGACGCGTCGATAGCTGTCGTTACACGATTTAGATTTAGGTCGCTACCGATTTTTCCTATTCCGCTCTATTACATCGTGAGAATCGCGAAGTCAGGAGTATCTGCTTCGACGATTCCACGGTCGAGATATCTTTTTGAAAGTTTCTCAGCGCTTGTGCACGGAAGCCACGACAAGGTCGCGGGTTTTCGTCAAATCCCCGATCCTAACGCGACGAAGTTCGTTTCAATTCGCGAGTTTCGTATCTCCGGCTTGGATACGCGCAGTTTCGAAACGGAGACGTCGACATATTTCTCCGTATATCACGGTAAGAGCCAGAGTCGGTCGTACATCATGCGAAGGCAGAAACAGAGACGTCTGGTTACCGCGTGCGAAAGCTAGAATTTACGAGTGCCCGAGCGAAAATCTTCTCTCCGGTGCTCGGGGTGATAACACTCACCCCTGGACTTGTTTTGTTCCCGGTTTTTATTAGCGACGCGAGTGGTAACACGTCGTACCTGCTAATGGATCTTGTTGAATGAGATATCATTTGCTAAGTGAAGTCGAGAGAACGCGGGTAGGGAGTTCGGGGTTCGCTGGAAGCCTATTGGCAACGACGAGCGTGGATCCCTGCGAGAAAATCGTTGGTGCTGTCTGATAGGTGCTTACGTTGTGAAATGTTGACGATTTTAACTGTTTATTGCGATGAATGTAACCACGTTTTAAAGGTCCACGGTTTTTCTACAAAACAAACTCGTGAATCGTTGTTATTATCAGCCTTTCAAAGCCGTTACTATGCGAGAAACTATTAATTGCCACTAAAATAGATTCTCGAATTTCTGGAAACGTCACTGATTGTCTGGGAGCATTACGGGGAAATATCTAACGCTCTTACTCACTGTCTGTTCGTAAGGAAATGCCCGCCCCTCTCGAAGCTGCGCATTCTCCACCGAAATATCGCGTTTCAGGACGAAGGGGCAGGAAACTGGCGCGCGTGGAACGTATGAACGCAATAAATATTTTTCATCCTCGCGCGTGAAAAGTTTCCTCAAAGGCGTCGGTAGCCGAGCAGGAGTGGGCTCTTGATTAAACGTTGCGCCAGCGAAATGTATTATTACTCAACGAACGACGCCTCTGAACTGCGATCCTCTCAACTTAGTCGCTCGAGGGCGGCGGATTTTTCTCGAAGCGATACACCCAAGGGAAACGGTGATTGCTCCTTCGCGTCTTTTTCCTCGTGGCATTTCTCCGAGGTCTCGTCCTCTGGGTATTATGTGAAATCCAAGTTTCCAACGGTGACTGCTATTCATAACTGTCTCCGAGATGGACACATCGGAGTGTTCGAAATGGACCATGTTCCACCCTTAAAGAATACTTGAAGGAAAATTTTCAATAGTTATATGCAAACTCTATGTACACCATGGATGGCCAAAAGTCGTATCAAGACACCGGGTTTGCGTAGGAACCCGCATTAAGGAATTAAAGCCAAACAAATTATTCCTTATTTTCCCAATTAGAATTGCAAAATTAAACAGGATTGTCAAAATAAGTGTTTCCATTTATTTCGTATCGATTAAATGAATTTCTAAAAGTGTAGAGTCATTTTTATAATTAATTCCTTGTGTTAAAATAGATCAGAGAGTCCTTTTCCATTTTTAAATTTGAGACTTCGTTAGCGAGCTACGAACAGTTACAATTGTTGCGCGTGCGAGCGCATGGGCACCTGTTATCGCGCGTGAGTGGATGTCCGCGCAGGCGTGCTATCAGCTGATTGGGATACAAATGGCGCACGCCAAGAAGTCACATTAGGAAACTTGAAATGCTTACATTTAGGTAACAAAACATCAGATTGCAAACTGTTAAGGAACTTTTCGATCTCTTTTCTTGTGAGGAATTTATCCCGCGAAGCGACTCCAGATTTTTGCTCGAAAAAATGTTAAACGTCATCAACGAATATTCTTTACCTGTAAGGCGCAGTTTTTTTTTTAAACTCGATGGAATGGATGGGGAAAAAAGACAACGATGACCAGTTCTGTCCTGTTGCGCGGCAGGACCGGTGGGTCAGGATTTCGGTGTGGTATAACGTCCAAAGAAGCTCGGCTTGCTCGTTCCGTTACCGCTTTACGCGAGCAAAAGGGAGGTAAGCGGATTTGGTGGCGGCCGCGCGACGCTCCGGCCATTCTGGCGAACTGGAAACAGCGACCGTGGGAAGGGTTGTTATTGGGAAGGGACGAATTAAAACAGATGCAACGAGACTTTTCCGAGGGACTTTTCCAGAGGCTTCGCGGAGAAATCGAGAGGTCGGAATCACGCCACGCGGCATGCTACAAGCTCCTTAGGATTTGTCAAAAGTATTTAGATGAGGCGAAAGAGAAGTTAATCCGCTTTGCGCATAATTATTCACAGCGATCGCTTGCGCAACGATGCTCGCCCCTCTGTTTCGAGTAGTCTTATAAAACGCGAAAATGCTTGCTTTGTTATATACGTAATATTTGTATTTCAGTACTTCAGTTTGCAGTGATTGTTATAAAAATTACAACAACTTACATTAAATTCTGATTTGTCCCAACCCAACTTGAAGGATACGCAGGCAATGGAAGCTACGAACGCGAAAAGAAGGGAGGAAAAGAACACGCGTCAGCGATCGAAGGAATTAGGTGGCCGAATCCCGCGAGTAACAAAGCTGTTTACATGGAAACGCTTTTAAATCGCAGTCCAGCGATGTCCGTCCAGAGGATGGGAAGCGCGTCGCACCCTCTGATGCCGTTGACAAACGAGCAGAAATGCGAAAGTAGGTGACTCGTACCGACCACTTTCATCCCTTGCGTTCAGCTAGGCGTGCATATACGCTTTTTGGGGGGACGAGTAGTCGGTTCTCGTTCTTGCCGCTCCGTGGCGGTACAAATAGAAAGCCCAACGAGTTCCCTCGCGTTTTCCCAACGCATCTCCGCTGTTTGATATTTGTCCCGACTTTCGTTGCCTGCAGATTGACACTTTTCTCCCGGTTTCTTCCAGCTTGGAAACGCGAAATGTAATTCCGCGAGGCGTCGCCGCGGCGTGTTTGCTGAATACGCACGGTAGGTCGATGAGGTTGTTTCGAAGGTGGAAGATTGAGCCCTGGATTGAAGTCTCGCGTGTTCCCTCCGACGAATCGATTCTGGGACAGTGGATTCGTCTTTCGAGACAGAGATAATATAATTTTCTCGTAAATCAGGTGAAAATGTGCTGTGTTCTTCGCTCGTATTTGCTCACCA